ATCTTCCATCATTTATTCTCCTGTGATAAAATTTCAATTCAGTTTCAACAAAACATAAAAAATCTATAGTTTGGCATTTATGAAAAATAATGAGTTCAACATAGCAAACCATTTTCCCATGTACAATTTGATTAGCACGAATGAATTCAAATTACTTACTTCCGTTTATAAATATCTAGAATTCAGACACTTGAACAATTACAATATTAATTGAAATTCACAAATCAATCCAATTAAAGTTTCCTTGACCCGCTAAACTGGTGAAGCTAAAAATAACTCCAATTAAACTGGTGAAGCTAAAGTTTCCAGCTATGTTTAACAAAGACCTTGGTTGTCTTTGGAAAATAGGTTAAAAATTGATGTTGAAGCTACTACTGCATTAGCCTATCTTCACTCAGCAGCTTCTATGTCTATTATTCATTGAGACTTCAAGTCAAACAACTTATTGTTAGACAATTTATATACTACTAAGATATTACATTTTGGAGAGTCGAGATTGTGCCCTTAGACTATGCCTGGGCATTTTAAGCCAGAACTGAACCGAAACCAAAGCTTCTATTTTCACTGCCATTATCGGAGTCAGGAAATAACTGGTGAAGCTAAAGTTTCTAGCTATGTTTAACAAAGAACTCGTGAAACGAATAATGGCAGTCAGGAAAATGCAAACATACCTTCAATCCTGAAATTATGCCTCCAATGGAATTTACAAACTGTCGAAGCCGGACGCGAATTTACAAACTAGATGGATAATCGCCGGTGCACGTCGACGGTAGTGCAGGGTTCTATTTCGGGGGAGATTAAATGGTAGTGCGGGGTTTTAATTGCCGGTGATGTCGGGGGAGAGAAGATGGACGGTAGTGGAGGGGGGGGTTAATTGCCGGCGATGTCGGGGGAGAGAAAATGGACGGTAGTGGAGGGTGGGGTTAATTGCAGGCGATGTCGGGGGAGAGAAATTGGACGGCAGTGGAGGGTGGGAGATAATGGAGTGAGTGCACTGGTTTGGGGAAATTGGAGTTTGCCGCCGACATTGGAGTGCACTGGCTTCCTTTCCATTTTTATCTTTTCATCTCAACCATCCATGCCCATTTAATCTCCACCGTCCACGTCATGTTGTAAGCCAACATTGTACAACAAGATTTTTCCATTATTTTAACATTAGCCCTAACTTTTCCTATCTCATCTCGTCTCCTCCTCTCCTCTCTTCTTCTCCGTACTCTCTATCATCTCCATGGGTGGTGCCCTAACTTTTCCGCTCTCATCTCGTCTCCTCCTCTCCTCTCTTCTTCTTCCTACTCTCTATCATCTCCATGGGTGGTTCCCTGTTCAAATTGAGGTTAAACTGAAACCGGATGTAGCAAGATGGCGTTGAAGCTAGCAGCTTCAAGGCTGAAGCTATTGAGGAACAAGAAGGAAGTGCCGGTGCTTCGGCTCTGTGCCGGTGACTTCGAGCCCTAGACCAGCTGCTTCACCTTCGTAACCTACTGTAAGTTTCTGAGTCTTTCTTGAAAATTGTTTCTTTTCTTGTTCAAGCATTTTCACACGAGAGAATCGAAGAAGAAATGTCTTGTAATTCAATGGCATTATCCTTCCTACAGACCTCTTGGGTCAATACTAAACCGCAGCAGCTTAGCCATGGTTGCCGCCTCAGTTCAGTTCCAGCAGTTACCCATCAGCCGGATCATTTAGTTTTCTAAAATTTAATTTTCTGAAGTCTAGCTAAAATTTAGGCGGATTTTAACTGAAAGCCCTAGTCTTGTGACATTTCCCTTTGCTCTATTTTTGTAGGATTGAACCCTCTTCAAGAAATATCTCAACTCAGGTTAGCTTGTTTAGGCTTAATTTTCAGTAATCTGCTCCTGACCTGATCTTTTACGGATTTTGATGACCCTACTGAAGTAGAGAGTGAAGAAGATTCAAGAAGTGAGTTTGACACGAGCTCAGATTCGGAAGATGCTGGAACTTTCCTTGAAAATAATTCAGAGCTTGAAGAAAGTAAAGTTGACAGGAAAGCTGGCGAGTTTATAGCAAAGTTTAGAGAGCAAATTAGGCTTCAGAAGATAGTGGTTGTTATCTACTAATGAAGTTAAAATTTTATGTACCAAAAAGATTATACATTGATCAGTGGTGTTCTATTTATTAATTTGTTGTCCTCGCAGACGTTATATTAGTTGGAGAAACTGAGTAAATTATATAGTAAAGATGAAGCTTATGGTGGTTACTAGGAAATTTATTTGGGATGATTGTTTCATTTTTACATTTTCTGTAATTAGATTGTCATAGTAATAACTTGCAGTGACAAGTAACTCTCACCTTGAGAGTGACCTAATAGAAATTTGTTTGTCTATTTTGCTTGTTTTCAATTTTCATTCTGTATATTATTGTTGAAATTGGAAGGAATGGGGCTTAATCTTTGTGATTGCTTGCCTGAATGAAGTCGAAACACATTCTGGCATTTGTGATAAGCACTCTCAAGTCATTCCATTGATGAATTGATTTATGAAAACGTTCATCCACTACTAATATATCTATCTTGGTTGTTGATTGTTGACTGTCTTCACTCTGCAAAATAAACCTGCTGATATGTAGTTAGAAACATACTTTTATTTCCATTTCTGCAGCCCCATACTTCTGTCTCGTTTGAATTTGTTTACTAGTAATTTTTTTTTTACACTAACAGATGCATTGCTTAATGTCAAGTCCTAAGTCAAGTAGATGGAAGTAAATTTCTTAGAAAAATTCTTAAGATGTATTTTTCTATGATTTAAATTTTTGTGCTACATCTGAAGCCCGGAATCAACTTCAAGTGGATATTGCTTATGCTCCATTTATTGAAAGATTTCAACCCTTCTCAATGGAAGTGAAGAATTACGATATTACAGTTGGAAGGCCAAGTCTTGCACTATGGATTGAGGTACTGTATTTATATTAAGTCAAGAAGTAATATTCCTCAAATCGTCAATATCTAGCCTAGATTTTTCATCCATAGTTGAATTTTGTATTTGAAACATTCTGCTGAAATGGAACCATGAAACATGGTTGCTTCACTTTTGCAAGAGATGAACAAAATTGAAGCATACAAAGAAACTAAACGTGACCCCAAGGAGAAAATGGTTGCCAACACCGGATCAGTTGGTAGTTGGGGAACAAGTAGAGATGATGCGGGTGGAAGCAAGTAGAGATGATTTTTTCCCCCTCTTAAGTTAAAGGACTAGTGAGTGCAATGTATGAATGTGTCATCAAGATGTTAGTCAACCAGTGAATTCCTCTGTTTTTGAGCTCATTATGAGTATGGTCAGAATCATTTCTGAATTTTGGCAGCATTATGTAATATTGAGTTAGCTAGCTTTCTCCAGTTGTATTACATTCTAATATTCAAGTGTATGGATTCAGAAATTTTTAATGAAATTATCAATTTTTATACAATTTCAAAATTTGTTCACAAAGATTTATGTTCAATTTTGCTATTCAATTTACATAAATTGCTGTATAATAATAATAATAATAATAATAATAATAATAATAATAATAATAAAAGGCAGCGTTTTTTAAACTTTGCAAAAGACCTTTTTGCAAACGCTGCAAAAAATGTCTTTTGCAACGTTTAAAAACGCTGCAAAAGACATTTTTTGTAGCGTTTTTTAAACGTTGTCGTATCTCTTCCCTCTTTAGCAATACTGAACTTTGCAACACATGATAAAACTTTGCAAAAGGCCTTTTGCAGCATTTTTTGGCCGCTGCAAAAGACCTTTTTTGGCTTAGTGCACTTGCATCCTTATTTCAACTTTTTTTCCTTACAAAGTGGCTAATTTCTATCCGTTCCGTTAATTCCTTTTGTCATATATAAGTAATTGGCGCAAAATGTTCCTATCATTTATCTTCATTGCATAAATTGTCCTTATTGTTTCAATTTTGACATTTAAACTCCTAAATCGATATAGTATTGTGACAATCCAAGGGCTTTGATTACAACATTAATAAATTGATTGCGACAGAGTGAGAACATAAAAAAGTGAGAGTTAGGAAAACTTGAAATAAAATGAATGTAATTTTATGTGAAAATACGAGTATATAATGATTCAACTATTGTAGAAGAATTACGATAAATTTTTTAACTACAAGGAGATAACCCCCAATTTAATTTAGAGTAAAAACTCACAAGTATAGAATGATTCCATTATTGTAGAAGAATTATAATATATTTTTTTAAATACAAGGAGGTAACAACAAACATTCAGGATTCTCAATTTTTTTTTTATATGTCTCTATTATCAATCTCTCTCGAAGGCTTAAAACTCTCTTATATTGTGATGATCACTTTTTGCACACCTACCGCTTCAGAATTTGCTTCAATTTATAGGCAAAAGTTAGCACTATACACCACTATTCAGAACTACGTGTCTTTGGTAAGTTTGCCAACTACTTAATTTTTCAACAAAAGCAACTGATTGGTGCCCGTTGTAAAAATTCTTCTCTATAAATCAACGGCAGCTGGCTTTAAACGTTTCAGCGATTAGCATTAAATGATGGAATATTGACTTTTATTCCTTTAAAAGTGGTGTTGCGGCTTTCACAAGATTACGAATCACTGGGCAATTTTCTTGTTTTAACGACACGTCTGGAATTTAGATCACTAAGATGAATAAACTTCGCTCACATAATCCTTTTGTATGTGAATATATATCCTTGTAATTATTCTTTTTAATTTTTTTCTCATATAAAGTTTAACATAAACTATTTGTTCGTGGACTAACAAACAAAATGCCAATTAGAATCACTCGTTTCTATTGACCAAACAAAGAGTATACTATCATTTTCTATTTTTTATTTCAAACATATATGATGTAACAAATATACTGATGTCACTGCATCGAGTCATTAATTCTAGCCCATGCTATTATTTGTACCGTAGATTATCCACAGACAATAATTTCTTAATGGAGACAAGAGGCCAGATGCTAGTACCCACAAATTGTGGCATTATTCATCATTTACACTATTCTTTAAGGACGGTGCACCAAGAAACTATCATCAAAGAGTGTGGAGTTGATGAACTCTTCAAGGACTGGGAGTTGATGGTCGTCATCGTAACTATACATTAGAGGAACCATTCTTGCAAGATTAAGAGAAGCTTTTGCGAAGGATGAACTTCCTGAGTTTTGATTTAAATGAAAACACTCCTTGTTAAGACGCTTCCATTCATTTGATATAATATCAACAACACGTTCTCGCGCAATCTCGATGGTTGATCCTGGATTCTCTTTCAGATAGCACTCTATGTACGAACCATCGTTTCCATCTTGCTGCTCATCCTGTCATTAGGTTGGTACAAAACAAATTAACAATGAATTTGAAATTAATTAAAATTGAAGTGTCAATCATAATGTTTAAAATTCTAGATGATGGTCTTGCCTAAAAGGTTAAATTGTCATAGAGGGGAAGAGTATTATGGAGTTACGATATAAAATTTTAGTATGTAATTACCTTGGCACTTCCAAAGTCATCCCAGAGACGGAGAATAGCGGCCACAGAGGATATGAGTTCTGATATATCATCCACCTGAACGGCCCCTCTTGTTCTTTTATTGATTCCCAAAAGTACGGAGTATAGCGGCCACAGAGGATATGAGTTCTGATATATCATCCAGCTGAACGGCCCCTCTTGTTGTTTTATTGATTCCCAAAAGAAAGAAGAGGTGGACGAGCACCACATGTACTCCTGAACTCACCTTCCCATTTTCTAGGTACTCATTGGTGGTCGGCAAGTGCCCCGAAGCAAACCATTTGGCTTCTACTAGGAATGCGTCACACAGACTTGCCCACTACAATAAATGAAGGATATACCATTAGTGTGATCTATGTATGGCGTGTAGAGATATATTAGGCTCTTGTTTGGTTTAGCTAAAAATGTTAGATTTTAATCAAAGTCAAAATCAAGAATTAATTTTAACCATACATTTGTTTGACATGTTTTCATCGACTTTTTGACAACACGTTTTATCAATTTCTATCAAAATGTGTTAAAAATCTTATTTTTATCTATGCCAAATAGGAGCCGAGTATTTGTACGGATGGAAAAGACTATCCATCTTACCGTTGATTTTAGGGAATCGATGGGATTATATCCATGTTTTTTGTAAATCTTGTAGCCTATATCATTTGTCGTGTCAAGAAGGGCCTTGTAGCACATCTTCCAGGATTTTGGTAACATGTGAAGGGCCTCATAGTCCCACCTGTACACAATTCAAATATTCAAATCATCAAAAGATATTCAAGTTAAAATCCTCAGTTAAACATATTGCATGTCCGCTCTTGTTGTCCCTACTAAAACTCGAAAAGAAAATAACGCAGGCAAAGAAGATGAGGATAGCCCAGCATTTTTATACATGTGTACAGCTCGGGTAAAGACAGTAAGTTCTTCTGGTGTCCCATAAAGATCAAAAATGTCATCTATTATGTAAATAAACGTGATGGATTTGGTGAGCTCAAGCCTTTGCTCCGACATGCTTGGATCAATTAGGGAGGCCATGGACCATGTATACCATTTTAACGGTTGGTTCCTAGCCTGCTTAAATTCCTGAGCCAAGCCAAGGTCTTTCCACCATCTGAAATTACAGAAGATTCCCTTTTCAGTTTTCCTCAAAAAAGTCGAGAAAATTTCAAACGTGTTATGTCTTCTTACCTGGAAATTTGGATCAGTTCTTGTTGGTTCACGGTCTGTGCCCTGGAAATATCCATTTTTGCGAGCTCTTTCAATGTTTTTCCCCATCCATTGCCTTGGAAATCTCTAATATACTTCTTTGCAGTAAATTTTGCAATGCTCTTGTGATAAGGATGCTTCAATCTGTTACTAACAATTTGGCTACTAAATTTTGCTGCTTCATCAAGAATATCTTCTCCATCTGTTACTAGCTGAGCAGCTTCATACAATTCCATCAATCCTCTAATATCTTCCTTTAATTTCCCTTCAAACACCCCATCTTTTCCCTTGAATTTGTTGAATATGTCTGTGGCATGCAATTAATTACCAATAACCATTGTTTGCTCAA